TTGAATCTGTAGATTGCTTTTGGCAAGATTGCCATTTTTACTATGTTTATCCTACCTATCCAAGAGCATGGAAGATCTTTCCATTTTCTGGTATCTTCTTTAATTTCTTTCTTTAGAGCCAAAATGATATTATTGTATAGGTCTTTTACTTGTTTGGTAAGCATTACACCAAGATACTTTATGTTGCTTGTGGCTATTATAAAGAATGATGTTTCTCTGATTTCTTTCTCTGTCTCTTTGTCGTCAGAAAAAAGTAGGGCTACTGATTTTTTTGAGTTTATCTTGTATACTGAAAGTTTGCTGAAGGTGTTTATCAGCTGTAGGAGTTCCCTGGTAGAGTTTATTGGGTCGCTTATGTAAACTATCATATCATCTGCAAATAGAGACAGTTTGACTTCTTCCTTTCCAATTTGGATCCCCTTGATCTCCTTTTGTTGTCTTATAGCTTTAGCTAGAACTTCCAGTACGATATTGAAGAGATCGTAGAGAGAGGGCAACCCTGTCTTGTTCCTGATTTTAGAGGAATTGGCTTAAAGTTTTCTCCATTCAGTTTGATGTTGGCTGTTAGTTTGCTGTATTTTGCTCTTATTATGTTTAGGTATGTTCCTGTTATCCCTGTTATCCCTGATCTCTCGAAGACCTTTATCATGAAAGGGTGTTGAATTTTGTCAAAGGCTTTTTCAGCATCTAGGTAGATAATCCTATGGTTTTTCTTTTTCAGTTTGTTGATATGGTGGATCACGTTGATAGATTTTCATATGTTAAACCATCCCTGCAATCCAGTGATAAAGCCTACTTGGTCATGGTGGTTGATTTCTCTGATGTATTCTTGAATTCGGTTTGTCAGTATTTTATTGAGTATTTTTGCATCAATGTTCATCAGGGATATTGGTCTGTAGTTTTCTTTTCTTACTTGTGTCTTTGTGAGGCTTGGGTACCAAGGTTATTGTGGCCTCATAAAAAGAGTTTGGCAATGATCCTCCTGTTTCTATTTCGTGGAACAGTTTGAGGAGTAGTGGTATTAGTTCTTCCTTGACTGGTAAAATTCTGCACTGAATCCATCTGGCCCTGGACTTTTTTTGGTTGAAAGGCTTTCAATGACTACTTCTATTTCATTGCGGGTTATAGGTCTATTTAAGTTGTTTGTCTGTTCTTGATTTAATTTTGGTAAGTAATAGTTATCCAGAAATTTGTCCATTTCCCTTGAATTTTCAATTTTTGTGGAATACAGATTTTCAAAGTATGACCCGAAAATTGTCTGGATTTCCTCTGTGTCCATTGTTATGTTCCCCTTTTTATTTCTGATTTTATTGATTTGCATGTTCTCTCTCTGCTTTTTCGTTAATTTGGATAAAGGCTTGTCTATCTTGTTGATTTTGTCAAAAAACCAACTCTTCGTTGCATTGATTTTTTTGTATTGTTTTCCTGGTTTCTATTTTGTTGATTTCAGCCCTCAAGTTGATTATTTCCTGGCATCTACTCCTCCGGGGTGAGTTCACTTCTCTCTATTCTAAAGTTTTCAGTTGTGCTGTTAATTCTCGTATGTGACTATCCTCTGTTTTCTTCATATGGGCACTTAGTGCAATGAACTTCCCTCGTAGCACTGCTTTCAAGGTGTCCCATAAGTTCGGGTATGTTGTGTCCTCATTCTCGTTGAATATTAGAAAGTCCTTAATTTCTTTATTTCTTCTTAGACCCAGGTGTGGTGCAATTGCACATTGTTCAGTTTCCATGAGTTTGCAGGTTTTCTGCTATTTGTGTTGTTGTTGAATTCCAATTTTAAAGCATGGTGGTCTGATAAGGTACAGGGGACTATTCCTATTCTCTTGTATCTGTTGAGGTTTGTTATACCACCTAGTATGTGGTCAATTTTAGAGAAGGTTCCATGTGGAGCAGAGAAGAAGGTATATCCTTTTGTCTTTGGATGGAATGTTCTATAGATGTCTGTTAACTCCAGTTGAGACATAACTTCTGTTAGTTCTTTTGTTTCTTTGTTGAATTTCTGATTGGTGGTCCTGTCTAGTGTTGAGAGTGGTGTATTGAAGTCTCCCACTATAAGTGTGTGAGTTTTTATATGAGCTTTGAGTTTTAGTAGTGTTTCTTTTATGAATGTGAGTGCCTTTGTATTAGGGGCATAGATGTTCAGAACTGAGACTTTGTGTTGATGGATTTCTCCTGCAATGAATACGAAATGACCGTCTTCATCTCTTTTGATTAATTTTGGTTTGAAGTCTAACTTGTTAGATATTAGGATAGCCATGCCTGCTTGCTTCCATTTGATTGGAAAATCTTTTCCCAACCCTGAGGTAATGTCTATCTTTGAAGCTTAGATGTGTTTCTTGTATGCCGCAGAAGGATGGATTCTGTCTTCGCATCCATTCTGTTAGCCTGTGTCTTTTTATAGGTGAGTTAAAACCATTAATGTTGAGGGTGAGTAAGGACCATTGATTGTTGATGCTTGTTTGTGTTAGGTTTGTTATTGGCAGTGGTATTGTGAATATATTTGTTCTGGTTTACCCTTGGTTTCTGGTGTAGTTGGATTATCTGTTACCTACATTTTTGTGGGCATAGTTACCTTCCTTGGGTTGGAGTTTTCCTTCCAATACTTTTTGTAGGGCTGGATTTGTAGATATGTATTGGGAAAATCTGGTTTTATCATTAAATATCTTGTTTTCTCCATCTATAGTGATTGAGAGTTTTGCTGGATATAGTAGTCTAGGCTGGCATCCGTGTTCTCTTAATACTTGTAGAACATCTATCCAGGACCTTCTGGCCTTGAGGTTTCCATGGAGAAATCAGGTGTAATTTTGATAGGACTCTTACACTTTAGACAAACTTTTCCCACAAAGCCCTCCTTTAAGTTTTATATTTAACTGGAGCTCATATGGTATACTCTGTACCATCAAAAAGTTATAGTAATATTGTTGCTAAAACATTCTATTTTATGAAATGTTTACTAAAGCACACTAAACTTCATTTAAATTAGAGTTACTAAATGTCTTATTTGAAGATTATTGAGAACTTAGATTTGCAGAAATTAAGACGTTCATGCTTTGCTGAACACATCATGTGTTTGTCTATTTGTTTGTTTGTTTGTTTTGTATACCATTTAGCAACAGAAACTGCTGAGGGACAACTCCTTTTCTCAAGTACTCCTCTATAAGCTAGATCAGTTTGTAGATAATCAGCCAGTAGCCCAAAGAACTGGGTAACTAACACCTGACATAGAGGAGCAGACAGAGCAACTCCTCCCAACAAGGTTAACTTATGGCCTATGTTCTGAAGCTGAGTATGAAGCAGATGAAAGCATGGGAACAGGGAGCATTCCATTTACTTCTCAAATTTTCATTCTGGATTTTGGCTGCCAGGGCATAACCCCATAGTTGAAGCCTAGACCCTTTCCCGGGCTCCCATGTATTCTTCAAATCCCGATGTTGCATTTTTCTCAGTTAACTGACTGGTGAGCCATGGCCAGGATTCCTCACAGCATTAGGACCAGAACACATTGTAATGAGCTATATTGTGGGTGGAACAGCTTCTATTGTCTTCCTGTAACTTGAGCCATCACAGGAAGTGAAGCACAGGAGGCTGCTGCTCAGAGCCTGCCTAGGAGGCCACTGAGACTGATTCCTCAGCTCCTGGAGTGGTTCAGCCTTCTTGTCTAGTTCACTAGTTTTCAAAGACTGACTCCAGTGAAAGCACTGTGTTTGCTGATGGTTGTTGGGAAACCCAGCAAGACCATGTTATTTAGAAAAACCAAAAACATGCATTTTAATGAAGTTTTGGACATGGCCCCTTTGAAACTATAATCTGCTTATTGTGTTATTCTAAGTAGGATGGAAAATACCCCTTTTCCCCCTAAAGTAGAAATGTATAGAGTGTAGTGCATATACATGTGTGTGTGAATCCTTGTGTAAAAGTCCTCAGACAATACATTCATCTATTTTAAAAACTAGTATTCTGCCACTCAGAAATAATTGATACTGTTCTGCTATCAACATGTCTAGACATTTTTATATGGCCCTATATATTTAAAAGCAGAGAGTGGTTAAGAGTACTCACTGAGTACTTGAGTTCAGTTCCCAATACCCCCACACTGGGTGGCTGACAAAGATTTGATGCTTTCTCCTGGCCCCCATTGATACCCATGTCCACATGGCATTCACCCATGTACACACATATGAGTGTAAAAGAAACTAAAAATTTCATCAGGATTCCACACTGAATTTTAAAATTTCTTGTAACCTAACTTATTTGTAATTTTTTGTGAACAGAAAAGGTATGCATATGTGATTATGATGTAAAGACATGTCTCAAGAGTGGCACAAACCCATAGCCCTTTAACTTTGTCTTACCCATTTCAATATTTGACTACAGGTGCTTGAAATGGGAGGCCTGCATAAAGAGTATATGGTTTCATGAATTTTGAAAACACCTGCAAAATTGCTCTCCAGAAATTTGTGTCAGTTGATAACGTACCTCCCATTATTGTGTGTGTCCCGTGTCCCCACAGCCTTAGAAGTCATAAAGGTTGTAAAGGACCAGAGATGTTTGTTACATAATCATGAGTACTCACATAACAAGCTATGTATTCTGCAAATGCCTGTGAACTCTAGCTCTGCAGTATCCAACTCCCTCTTCTGGCATACTTACATGTACATATGTTCATACTCTCATGCAGACACAGTCACACATACACACACAGTCACACCCATACACACACAATCTCAACCACAAGTCTCCCTCTGTAACTCACAAATGCAATTAAACATTCTTGTTTTTTAGAGTAAGGTAGTGCTCTGAAGGAAATCTACTGAACTCAATGCCTTTGGGGGTCACTAGGGGTTCTGTGGTATGCTCCAAGCTGCTCAGACGGTTGTCTACAGGAAGCTCATTGTGTGACTAGTACATGTTTTTGTTTAACTGAGGCTATAACTCCAGTTCCCTCTGTCAGGTTGTGGCTGTATTTGAAATACTCTTCCTGTGCACTTTTCTCTTAGATTGAGGAAGACACGTGGCAGAAATACTACTTGGAAGGAGTCTCCAATGAGATGTACACAGAATATCTCTCCAGTGCCTTCGTGGGTCTGTCCTTCCCTACTGTTTGTGAGTAAGTGACTGTTCACTGGATGCTCTTTGCCTCTCAGGGATATTTAATGGCTCTGTAAGGGCAGCCTCCTGTCTCTGCTTGCACTGGTTGGAACACTTGATTCTCACTCATGTGGGCTCAGGGCTGTATGTCTGTGCACAGGAAAGTGTGTCCTGACAAGGTCCTACCTTTAGGTGTCACACTGGCTCCAATTTATCCTCTAGGTCCCAAAATCTTGAGATTAGACCCCTGCTTTGTAGAAATTTACAGTTTGTACAGATTGCCTGTACATCTTTCATAACACTGCTTTGAGATAGAAATCTTTGAAAGGTGGTATGAGCTCATGTGGCCCTTATTTTACTTAGTTTAGTTTATTTATTTATGGTGTTAGGGACTGAGCTCAGGGCTTCACCTTCAGCCCCATCTGCTTTTAATAGAGGAAAGAAGTCAAATCTTGCCCATTCCAGGACAAAGGAATTTTAATCTCCTTCTAATTAAGTCCATGATATATAGACATTGAAACTACTTTGCCATTTACTGAGGAGTTATGCTGTCAAGTGCACAGAAGGAGGCCTTGAAAAGGCCCTGCATACAACTGCCAGGCTCAAAAATAGCAAGAATCAGAGCTGGTTCCCAGTGCACCTGTACCCTCTGGAAGATCAGGTATCCTGCTCTTGGGAGTTCCAGGTGTCTACCTGGAGGCATGACAGTACCCCCAGATTCACCACTTAGATTCTTTGGATTGAAATACAATCAAGCAAGGTCATACCCCCCCCCAAAAAAAAACAATTCTGAAAAGTGGTGGACCTCTAAGTCTGACCCACTAGCATTTGACACTTTCGCAAAGGTCAATAAATGGTGTCACTGATGCAAACTGGGAAGAAACAGATGGATCCAGGTTGAGGGAGGAAAAAAACCACTTACCAGCCAAGTTCACAATCTGGGATTCTAGAGGGGTAAATCTAATGTTGCTAAATCAAAACTGAGAGTCCTTTCTAGTAAAGGAAACCTGGGGTCTTTGTTTTGTATGCAGAAGAGAGGGACTGAGACTAGGCCATGGAGCACAGCAGGTGTTCTATGCCAGTCTCCAGGCCCAAATCCCCAAGCACTCCAAAATGGTTTGGTTGTTTACAGAAATTTCTCACCCTGTCTCTAAGCGATAGTTTAAATGCTAAATGGACTGTAAAAGTGAATAGGTAATTGATTCTGAAGTTCTTTTCTGGAAATGGAAGCTCTCTTGGAACTCCCAGGAGCACCTTTCCCTGAGAGTGATTTCTCTTTCCACTGCTGTGGACTGAGATGCTGGGAGTGTACCCTCCTCTGTAGCTCAGCCTGCTTCCAATGATGGGCAGTGTAGATCAGTGAGAACTCCATGAACACACAGGGCTGTTTAAGAAGGTCCAATGATGGGCAGTGTAGATCAGTGAGAACTCCATGAACACACAGGGCTGTTTAAGAAGGTCCTTGAAGTCCTCCGCGGTCAATTCAGGGTGGCATACACATCGAGGCAGAGCTGGCAGAAGGCCCGGTGAAGTCAGCGATGCTAGCTGGGAAGTTTTGAAGCTCTTTTCCTTGGCCAATAAATTAAGTTCCCTGTTTAATTAGTGTTGTTCTGACAGGAGTATCCCAAGGAAACTCTCTGGCACTTCAGCTTTTGCATCCTTCCCTTCCTCTGTCCCTGGGGGAAAAGTCAGTTCTTTTAAGACTAAGGGTGAGGATTGTTCCCCCCTGGAAAGGCTATAACTGGGATACTCACAGGGAACACTGGACCCATGGACTTGGTATTGTTTAATTTGCTAAAGGCTAGTTGCGGGTATTCTGGACCATGGGATTTCACAAAACAATGCAAAACAATGGCTCTCTCTTGGCCACCCAGGATCCATGTTTCTGCCCAACACTAACTGGCTCCCACTTGCTTTAATTTTAATGAAGGGGCTATGTGTGCTTTTTTCTAAAACAGCGTGTAGTGACACCCAACAATCCAGATCAACTCTACCTTCTTCCAGCCATGTGAAATTCTATTAGCCTTCAGTGCCAGCTCAGGAGTCTGCCCTGTAGTCGCTATGTATCCCAGTTACAGCCTGTAAGGGAATCAGTCCTCACTTTTCATCTTTAGCAGTACTGACTTTTTCCAGTGGTGGAGTAAGAGGAGTGTGGGAAAGCTAGGTTCCTGAGGAAGCTCTCTTGTCAGGCCCAACACTAGTAAAATATGAATTATTTCCCTTGATTAATTTTCGTCTTTACAATATGTTCTAATGAGGGAAGAGATCCCTAGATGTACCTCATTTTCAGTGAATTTAGTGTTTGTTCAGTAAAGCTTTTGAATGAAAAAAAAAAAAAAAGCAACTTCTGATGTGAGTGAGAATCCTTTCAGCCTGGTGCTATTATTCCTTTAATGCAGCAGTTCGGCAGAGGCGGAACTAATCAATAAAGAAAGGCCATTTAATGAGATTTAGGAACAACCCAAAACATTGAAGCTCTCTTCAAGCATTTGATTATCTTGAGGCTTAATTATCTGTGTTTTCTACTTTAAATTAAAGAAAAGCCATAACTCAAAGTTACCAGCAGTTTAATGATAACACTCTTCAATTCAGGTTAATTAAAGCGCAGCTGTAATTAGAGTGTAGTGTTGTATATCACCAGGCTGCTGCGTAAGTATTTTCATTACTGTAAGAACTGGCTATTCAATTTCAAGATGACATAAAGGACGCCCAAATATATATTAAGCTGGTGTGGAGATGGAAAAGAATTGGGGAATATTCTGGGTATAATAAAGCACAGATAAAATATACAGATTTTCAGAGTAGTTTCCATAATTATGTACCACACTAAAACAATATGCAACCAATGATGTTGCAAAGCATGGAAAGAAATAAATTTGCTTTTCCCCTGGACTGGCAGCAGCATGCCACCCAGCAGGTGGGACCAGTGAGATTCCAGAGTTTTCTCAGAAGTGAGGCAGAGTAGGCCTATAAGAAGAGAGGTAAAATCTGAAGAAAACAGAAAGGGCTGGTGCATTGCAAGAGAAGCAGAGGGAGGCCTCCAAAGCTACCGTCTTCAAAATTGCAAACTCAGAGATCTCCAGTATACAGAGTTAGGCTCTAGTTATGGTGGCAGCCTTTGAGACCACTCTGTGTGTGACCAAAGCTGGGGCCTTGTTCCAAAGCCAGAAGGTAATTTAGACAAAATAAGCCATTGTATGCAGCATTAACTTTGTTATCAGCAACAGCTTGGGATCTGAACACCGGCACCCACCTGCTTCCTTTCCTCTTTCCTTCCTCCCTCCCTCCCCCTTCTCTCCCTCCCTTCCTTCCTTATTTTCTTCCTAAGCAAGTGTTTGTAAGGATGGGGATGGCCAGTGTCAAGCCCACAGGAAGGATAGGACTATGAAGCCACCGTTTCCCTTAAAGGCTCCTATTCTTGAGTAGTCCACACAACATGACACTATATGCATAGAGTGAAGCCACAAAGGACTGGGGTTGGGCCCCCCAGATCAGCCACTTACAGGGTTAAGATTTTTTGTATCTGTGTACTTTTCCTGTGATAGCATCCAATGTTTGGCTTTACACTTGGTGCATGTTACGAGGCTCCTTATATGTTATTGACCTTTCCTACCTCTCGATTCTGCATTCCCCTCTACCCCCATTCCCATAAAATGTAAGCAGGAAGGAAGGAGGGAGGGAGAGAGTGAGGAAGGGAGGGAGGGAAGGAGGGAGAAAGGGGGGAGAGGGATGGAGAGACTCTGTGGCAATTCCAGTTTCTTTTTACTTTTATTGTTTAGTAAAGTCTAGTCACGAGTCAATAGGACAAAAATGAAATGAATTAGAATATTTTCACTATTGTGTTAGGCTTGTTGCCTTAGGTTTGATTAACTATTAAGCATGGAAACTTAATAAAACTTCTTTTAAATACCAAGTAAAGAATTTAGTTTTGCTTTAGTGTTGTCTTCAGAGTCTGAAATAGGGCTGAGGGAGCTCACCCCCACTCATACTTGGGAAGCTGTGATGCTTTTGTGTGCTTGCTGAAGTCATGCAGCTGGAATGTGGGTGTTACACTCTTGCAGTTTTCCTTTGGATCAGGGAAGGATTCCTGGAAGAGATGCCAGTTTATATGAGCTGATCCTGTAAGAAACATGGGTTCAGAAGAGGGTAAAGGTCAAGTTCTATGGAATAGAAACGGTAGGTCACACAGTACCACAAGGAGATTTCTCAACATACCAGGTCCTCTGAGTTTTCCTAATGTGACCCATGTAGATGGGGACAAGGCTGTCAGTGCCTTTGATATGTGATGATTTGAGAGGCAATAGTGATGGTGGTTTCTTTCTGAGAGCTAGCAAAGGTGAGGATGCCTAGAAGGGTGGGCAGAACGACCTAGCAAAAAAGCAGGTTCAGCAATCAGATTGGCAAGAACACAGAGTTCCAGGTCCAGAGTCTCACAACGAGCCTATTAGTCAGTCATTCATCACTTGCAAAATATAAAAGCGTAATTGTATGAGGTTTTACAGCTCAGAAAGGATTAGAAAAGAGATGTATTTCAAATACAACATGTCTCTCTGTCTCTCTGTAGCTGATGGAGTAGTTAAGATTCAGCTTTGGTACTGAGCATTTAGTGATTGGGTAACTTGGGGAAATGTAGTGGGAAGTAATGAAGGGCAGTTGAGCTCCCAAGCCCAGCTGCAAAACATGGATGCTACTATGCTTCAGGCAATGGAGAAGACTCTGGGGAGGGAGGCTGACTATTGACCTGCCTTCCATATGCCTGGGATCCAGAAAATTGGACACTTTTCCTGTATCATCTTGCAAGGACAGATCTCTCAAAAGAATTCATGTGAAGAAAGTTAAGATTGGTACAGCTCAGGCAAGGAAGGGCCTCTTGCCCAGTGCCAATTTGAGTTCTATGATTCCACTGATTGTTTCAAGAGACTTTCTAATCTCAGTGTGAAGCAGAAAGAGATTAGGTAAGCCCATTTGTTACCTGGTGGACTCCATAGCCTGATTCAGAAAGGCATGTGCCAATAGAAT